AGAAAGATGGGGGAACCAGCAGCCTTTAGGACCATTGTGAGGATGAAGGTTGCATGAAACGTCTTTTCAGGGTCCATTAAAACCACGGCACAGCCTTGCTGATTACTTTGTGTGGTGATGTCTTCTGGTCTTCATATCCCCTTGTCACTCCCTTTGCCACATCTTTTGTTAGTAGTGGAGGTTGGGAAACTCTTGTGAGGCTTGTGTGCAGGACTTGCTTCTGTGGGTCAGAGCAACACCATTTTGGGACAGACTGACTGGCTGGAGGAAGGAATTAGAGCACATGGTGATGAGGGAGACATGGAAGCAAAAAGGAGCTGGCTTATGCTTTCGAACTTTGCCGGGACTTGACTGGCAGGTTGGAGCTATGCTGCTTCTCCTGCTTTCTTTTGTTAGAAAGACTGAGAGAAGTGGTAACAGAAGAAACAATGTTGTGCGGGGAGACACTTGAAATTGTGTGAGGAGGCTAATTTCTGATGAAAGAGAGGGAGGAGTATCTGGGGTCGATTCTTGGAAAGAGTCCTTTGCCTTGGAATGGTTCTTGTAGTTAAAATCTTGTAGATCTTGTAGAAGAGATCTCTTGTTCTTTTGTTGTTGTTATTGTCATCTTTTATTTTTGCTTCTCTTCTGTCCTTTACTGCTAGAAGAGTTTCATCTGTCACCCACTGAAGCTTCTCTTTCTTTTTGGCTGCAGATAGTGTCTTTTTGCATTCTTTCCTGACAGTGTCCCTGACTTCAGTCCAAAGTTCATATAGCTCTTGGTCAGTTAGGCTAAATAGTGCAAATCTATTTTTACATTATATTTACATTCTATTGGGATGCTCTTCAGGTTATATTTTGGCATGATAGTTGATTTAGTGTTCTTCTATAGCTTTACTCTAATTTTTGGTATTAGTAGTTCATGGTCTGTCTCAAAATCTGTTCCTGATCCTCTTTTTGCAGAGAGAATAGAGCTTCTGCAGATTCTGCTTCCAATTATGTAGTCAATTTGATTTCTGTATTGGCCATCAGGTAGTGTCCAAATATAGTCACCTCTTTGATTGCTTGAATAATGTGTTTGTAATGTACAAACTGCTGTTCTTGCAATATTCAATCAGTCACTTTCCTGCTTCATTTCCTGATTTCAAGACAAATTTTCTTACAATCTTTGATTCTGTTCTGTTTCCTACTTTTGCATTCCAATCACCTGTGATTAACAAGAAGTCCTGTTTTGGTGTGTGATCGATCAGTTTCCTCCAGCATAATGTCTTTCAAATTCTTCTTCTTCTGCCTCTGTAGTTAGAACATAAACTTGGATCATGGCTATATTGATGGGTTTTCCATTAAGTCTTTTTGATTTTATTCAGACTTTGCATTGTATCGTTTGACTGCTTTTGCTACATCTCTTTTCAATAGTAATGGTATCCCATTTCTTCTTAATGTTTCATTTCCTAAGTAAAACATGCAATTATCTGACTCTAAATGTCTAATTCCTGTCCACTTTAGCTCATTCACACCAAATATTGCAATGTTTGTACATTCATTTCTTGTTTTACTATGTCTAACTTCCCTTGATTCATGCTTCTTGCATTCCATGTTCCTATAATTTGTGTTGTGGAGCTTTGGACTTTCCTTTCACCTCTGAGTGTATCAGCAGCCAAATGTCCTTTCTGCTTGAGTTCATTTGCATCATTAGCTACAGCACTACTCGTCTGTTTTATCCCAGTAGCTTGTTGAGTGCTATCTAACTTAGGAGTTCCATCTTCTGGCACTATCTCTTGTTTCATTTTGGGTTTTTTCATGGTAGGGTATTTGTGGTAAAAGATGTTCAAAAGGGAATTAATTGTCCCATGTCAAATCCTTGGCAAATTATATGAGTGTAGCAGTTCTGAAATCCTTTCAGAAATGTTTGCAACAACAACAAATCTTGTGCCTTGTGCAGTGGTAAATGCAGCTCATTGGTTCTACAACGGTACAACAACTCTGCCTATTTCTGAAGAAGACAGAACTCCACGGAAAAGGATCAGTAAAACACTGAATATGACTACAAGTCCTGAGGAAAAACGCAAGATTATTGGTGACACCTTTGTGAAGGTACCTACTTTATCGTTTATTGTTGTTGTTATTAATTTTGTTTATACCGCTCTCTTTAGAAATGGTCTCAGAGTGGCTTACAAATTGTTAATTAGACAGTTCCCTGCCTTCAGGCTTACAGTCTAAAAAGTCATGACACAAAAGGAGAAGTGAATGGCATTGAGGAAGGGGACCAGGTCCAGGGTTCTTCTGTCCCTCTGAGGCCAGGGCCGTGATAGATGGAATGGAGGGACGGCCCTTCTTTCTCTGTGCTAGGCCTAGTGGAGCTACGATATATTTAATTTATCCTTTCCCTCTTTCAAGTTAAGTATATTCAACTTTTACAGTCACTATTTTTAAATTGTGTGTGTATGTGTTTGTCGATGCATATACACATATGTTTACATGTTCTGCCAGTTAACCTGGTTGCTGATTTGGAAGCTTATTTCAGTCCAAACCATTGTGCATGCAGCTTGTTTAAAAGTCCTTTTGTATCTCAGATGTACACTTGTTCAGACATGTGAACACAATACAACACAACCTAAGCATCACCAGTGTAATATAAAAAAACCCCAATCACTATTATTTTGTTATCTAAAGAATCCTTGTCCCATCATTTTCTTGCCAAGGTCGAATCTTTTTGGAGTTCTTGGCCTTTTATCACTGTGATATCCCTGTCTTTCCTAGCAGCTATCAGGATTATGTAATCAGTTCAATTTCTAAGGCCCACTTAGACCAGTTTATCCCACCTTGCAGGCATAGGAAATGTTTGGTTCTAGAGATGTTTTTAGCCTACAGCTTCCATCAGCCCCACTCAGCATGGCAAGTGGTAAGGGATTGTGGGAGTTGTAGGCTAAAACATATTGGAGTATGCAGCTTCACTAGGGTGAGGTCACCCCAGTGTAGTAACTCATGCTGTCACCCCCAGGCTGCTTAGCACATCCCTAACCACTCCTGTCTGCTAACCATGCTGCTTCTGCCATAATGTTTATTTATTTATTTATATCCCGCCCCTCTGCAGAGCAATCAGGGCAGCTTACAACATTAACATTTCCATACAAATAAAATATAAAACATAAAAATCCCGAATCCCACCCGTCCTATAAGAAGTAAGGGTTCTTCTTCTTCCTCTAGGCTTGATGGTGCTGGGCCTGTTGTCTCTCCCCCAGATGACATCAGATGGAGTGCAGGGAGGGCTCTTCTTCTTATTCTAGGCCTGATGGTGCTGGCCCTAGTGTCTCTCCCCCAGATGACAATGGATGGAATGGAGGGAGAATGATGCTGCTGCCTGGCAGTCCTTCTGGGTCTGTTGGGACTGCTGGCTGAGTGGGAAATGCAGTCGCCACCTTTCTTTCCCTGCTAGACCTGGAAAGCATCTCCTTCCACAAACCTGGAAGACCCGGAGAATAGAGCCTTCCAACCAGCAGGCACTAGTCGGGGTGGACTGCTCCTGCCAAGTAGACCTTCCAGTCTGCTGGCCAAGTGGGAAAGGGAAGTGATTCTTTTTCCTGCCTGGCCAGCAGCACCACCAGACCTTTCCCAGCTACTGATGGTGGGAGTGGGCTGCTGCTGCCACATGGCAGCTTTTCCGGGTGTGGTGAATCACCTGGCTAAGTGGCAAAGGAAGACAAGTGACTCTTTCCCGCTTTAGTGCCGTAACTCATGCTCTCACCCCCAGACTGCATGCCACACACCCCAGCCACCCCCTCCGCTATCCAGGCCACCTTTGCCATAGTTGGAGATGGGGTAGTGCTGCTGTCTGGTGGCCCTTCTGGGTCTGGCAGGCCTGCTGGCTGAGTGGCAAAGTGAGATGAGCAACTCTTTTTCCTGCTTGGCTCACAGACCTGGAAGGCAGCTCCTTCCGTAGAAGGAGTCTTGGTAACACCCATTCACCCTCCTGTAAGGTGTCACCCAGTGCTGACCGCACCTCCCTAGTGATGACCCTGAGTATGTATGTGTACCCTAATCATGGTTCAACTTTTTAGGCAAGTGAAACAGAACAAGCTTTTGAGTATGACCCACCTTTTTGTCCAGTAGGGGTCATCCACTATCCATTACATTTTGCGTATATTGAAATAATAGTATTATGTTCCACTGGCACCAGATTAAAGCCAGTACTTTATTGCTTCTTGTTTCTTTCATGCTCCAGCTCCAAATCTTCTTTTTTCTCAGATACCTATGGAGGAATTCCTATATCATTAGAAAGATGTTTCTTTTATAGCTGGAACACATTATAATGGCATTTTATTGCCAGCATTGCAAAAATACTATTTGTGTGATAAAAATACCATAGAGGCACAGTGAATAAAATTACACATATTAATCCATAAATACTATATGTCTCTCTAGAGCAGTGGCTATGGATTAAACAAAAAACATGTATTTCTCTTTACCAGAGCATCTATACTTTAAAAAATGAACAAGATAGTATTGTCATATAGTAGCATTGTTTATTCCCAGTGTTGCTGAGTTCAGGGCTTTCTTAAAATTTACACTGACAGTAGACTCAAAAATAATAAATAAATAGTAGTAATTAGATTTCCACTTCCTACTGAGTCAGCTGAAGTTAGTGTAAATATCCCTTACTATGCACTGCATTCATGAAAACTTGTTAGCAACAAGATTTGGTGGCTGAATTACAGGGAAGCCTCTTCTCTATCTCATTTTCTGTCCCCTCCTGTCCTCTCCCCATATGCTAGATTGCTAATGAAGTTATTGGAGAAATGAACCTGAAACCGGAGGAAGTCTTCCTTGCCCAAGGCACCTTGAGGCCTGATCTCATTGAGAGTGCTTCCGTTGTGGCTAGCGGCAAAGCAGAAGTCATCAAGACACATCA